CCCACCTCCTTCGTCTGTGTATGGTTGGGGCTGGCGCAGTCTTCTTGTGTGAAGCGCCAGACCCCTTCGCACCATGATGATGATGATGATGTATGTTCGGGGCTGCATTACAATGTTGATTGTTCGGATCATTGGTATCTAAGTCTTCCGCTGTGCTATCTATTACCTTGTGTTGAAAGGTCGGTTCTTGTTCTGGTCTGCACCTATACGGTATGCAACAATGTCAGTCCTAAGGCGAGTATTTATGCTCTCAGTCGCCGAAAAGTCTAGCGGCCTGGCTCCACTATTCTCCACACCGAATTGTCGTACGGCCTGGGTCCACTAGTTCCCAAACATGCACAAAAGACAAGAAATATGGTGGTGTTATCTTTTTACGTTCTAGCTGTAGATTCGTGCTCATTTTGCACGTTTGGGGCCTCTCGCTACACCGCTCTTGAAACACGGGGAAATATGGGCCTCGCCACACCACTCTCGAAATGTCCATATTGAGAATGAACTTCCCGCTAGAACATGGCCAGATGCGCCCACCAAACTTTTGTCTTTTTCACTTTTCGATAGTGGTGTGGTGAGGCCCTATGTCAAGAGCTGTCAGATGTTCTCAAGAGTTGGGTTTTCATGAGTTTTCGGCCTCTTGCCACACAGCACTCTCGAAAGGGTGATGGTGTTTGTTGGACAGAGGATGAAAAACTAAATGACAGTCCTACAGCTTTGTTTTTTTTTTCTTTTTTGAATGGCGTCAGGATAACGACCTGTCCGACAACTCTTGAAAATGAAAATCAGTAGTCCCTCCTCAAGGGTTCGGCCAAGGACACTAGAAAACGAACGAACGAGTTGTTGCAGGCTCAGGCTGGGGTTTCCAATCTTTCAAGAGACCCTCTTGAAAGAAAGGGGGGGGGTTCAAGAGGCTGCCATTCTTACAGCTCTTGAAAGGCCCAAGTTTCAAGAGTGCTTGCTGTGTGGCGATGCAGGCAGCAACTCTTGAAAAAAGAAAGAGTTTTCAAGAGTGGTGTGGCGAGGCCCTTGGAGAGTGGTGGAGCGAGGCCCTAGGACACCTTTTCTTTGCCACATACCCCCTCTTCTCATTTCTATCAGTCGTCGTTGAGATCCCCACAATAAGAGTTCATTTCTATCAGTCGTCGTTGAGATCCCTACAATAAGAGTCTATCACAGACCCGTGTTTCTTCACGTTGTTTGCTTTGCTTTTTCCTGTTTTGCTTTCGTTGCTTTCCTCCTTTTTTTTTTTCCGTTTTTTTTTTTTTTTCCTTTCTTTTTTTCTCCCCGTCTCTTTTGTTGCTTTCTGTGGTTTCTTTGCATTCTTTTTTTTTTTTTCCTTTTCTTTTTCCCTTCTTTTGAAAATGGCTGCAGCCTTGAGACGTCTTTGTCAAACTGACTGGCCTTTTGGGACTGCACAATTATTGGACTGCAGTCACCTACCGTATTCACCCGAATAGAACGCCTGGTCATTATAGCTGTATTTGGCACAACTTTCAGCCCAGATTAGGCGATAATTACCGGGCGTTCTGTTCTGGTGAAGACGGTAGTTGATCTGGATTCAAACTCAGGTCTGTACGTCAACAGTTCATGGGTGTACCGACTGAGCTAGGCTCGTTGGTCTTTGCTTTCTCTTTGTTTTTCTAGCTTGGAATGTTATTGTTTTTTTAATTTTTAGCATTTGTTTTTTCTCAGGTTTCTTGCTTTGTTTTCTGTCCTTGTTCTCAGCTTTCTTGCTTTGTTTTCTGTCCTTGTTTTTCAGCTATCTATAGACCACTCCCTGCCCCCCCCGGTTCCACCTCTTCCTCTTTACCTTCTCTTTTGTCAGATTCTGCGCTTCTTTTATGTTCGGTCGGTGGTGGGAATCCCACAAGACAATCTGTCAAACCCCCTGCCTGTGTTTCGTGTAGTAACAAGAAACGGAACACACCGCTAATAGCCATCTAAAAAAAATAGGAATAAGTGAAGTCATCCAAGCTGCAGCCACATGTACATTTGTCTCGACTCGCGCCTTTCGACAGGGAGTTGTTCCCTCCTTTCGACAGTTGATTGCACATGGTTAGAGGGTTCGTTGAACTGTTGGACGCTTGGCTCCACCGTTACACGTCTCCACCGTTGGCAAGGCTTCCCACCGTCGAAGAGCGGATGACACACCTACACCACACCCACACGCTCTTTTACTTGGGCAATTCCATTTCACCTTGAGAGAGTTGGTTTCACACCTCCGATTGCATTCCGGACCTTCTCCCCTTCTCCCCCCCTACCACACTTTCATGGATTCGTTCGCACACCTTTGCCTCCATCTTCCCTTACACACACACACATATATATATATATATATATAGGGTTCAGCCTCCTGATGAGTCGGTGAAACTCCGACGAAACAGTTTGTCACAGCCCCTCGTTTGTTGTCCTCTTCTCTCTCTCTGCCTACGGTTTACCGGGCAGTTCTATTTGTGACGATA